CTCTGCAACAATACAGACAACAACAACAACAAAAAGATTCCCCCCAGGAGTAGAGAGTTAAAGAAATCCATATGACAACCCTGTTTCTCTGCCCCTTCCCCCCAGAATCTAGCTGCGGGGCCAGACACCTACACCCCATCCCTGCAGAGCCCAGCCATGGCCCCAGCCCAGACACCCGTACCCCCTCCTCACCAGAGCTCAGCTGCGGAGCCCTCCTGGCGCAGACACCTGCACCCTCTTCCCCCAGAACCCAGCCGCCGCCCCCCCCCGCCGAGACACCTGTACCCTCTTCCCCCAGAGCCCAGCCGCCAGGCCCCTTTCAGACACTTGCACCCCCCGCCCCCCGAGTCCAGCCACAGGATCTGACACCCACACCTTCTCCCCCCCACCCTGAGAGCCCAGCCGTAGGGCCCCCCTACCCAGACACCTGCACCTTCCTCCCCAAGAGCCCAGCCGCGGCCCACCCCAGACACCTGCACTCCCTCCACCACAGAGTCCAGCTGCAAGGTCAGACACCCACAACTTCTCCCTCCCAGAGCCCAGCTGTGGGGGGCCCCAGCCCAGACATGTACACCCTCTTCCCCCAGAGCCCAGCTGTGGGTTCCCTCGCCCCTAGCTCAGACATCCAGGAGGGACAGCTCAGTGGTTTGAGCATTGGCCTGCTAAACCAAGGGTTGTGAGTTCAATCCCTGAGGGGGCCATTTAGGGATCGGGGCAAAAATCTATCTGGGGATTGGTCAGGAGGTTGGACTAGACGACCTCCCGAGGTCCCTTCCAACCATGATATTCTATGATTCTCTCCCTGCCAGAGCCCAGCCATGCTCCCCTCCACCCCCAGCCCAGATACCCACACCCTCTTCTCCCAAAGCCCAGCCACGGGGCAAACCCCCCCAAGCACAGACACCTGCACCCCCTCTCCATCAGAGCCCAGCTGCGAGGCCCCCCGACCCAGACACCCACACCTTCTGCCCCCCACCCAGAGCCCAGCCATGGGGCTCCTTGGCTCAGACACCGGCACTCCCTCCCAGAACCCAGCTCTGGGGCATCCCACAGTCCTGACACCCACAGAGCTAACAGCTAAAACTTTTGAAGATTTTCAGTTATAAGGGGGTGTTGAAGATAGAAAACAGGCTGGATGTAAACCAAGAAACTCTCAACTATGGACCACCCCTGTGTATGTATTACCCACAATACAACCTCAGAGTTCTGAGCACCAGAGTTACAAACTGACCAGTTAACCATACACTTTATTTGGAATCGGAAGTACGCAATCATATCAGGCAGCACCAGTGACACACACACACACACACACACACACACACACACAAAAAGCAAATACTGTACAGTACTGTGTTAAACGTAAACTACTAAAAAAATAAAGGAAAAGCAGTATTTTTCTTTTGCATAGTAAAGTTGCAAAGCTATATGAAGCCAATGTTCAGTTGTAAACTTTTGAAAGAACAACCATAATATTTTATTCAGAGTTAGGAACATTTCAGAGCTATGAACAACCTCCATTTCTGAGGTGTTTGTAACTCTGAGGTTCTACTGTATTGTAAATTAATCTGATAGTTAATAACACTCACCTCATTAATCTTTATATTTAGTGTGACAATTCATTAACATAAGTTCATTAAAAAAATCGACACTCTAGGAGAACGTTTTGAAATGAACCAAATAATACTATTCAAGGATTAATGATGTTTGAACATAAAGAGTGTGATATTTGACTTATCGGCAGAGACTTGTTGCAATGAAGGCATATACTGGGGTGGCCAACCTGAGCCTGAGAAGGAGCCAGAATTTACCAATGTACATTGCCAAAGAGCCACAGTAACACGTCAGCAGCCCCCCCATCAACTCCCCGCCTCCAACTCCCAGCACCTCCCGCCCACTGGCAGCCCCGCCAATCAGCACCTCCCCCTCCCTCTCCGCACCTCCCGATCAGCTGTTTCATGGCATGTAGGAGGCTGGGGGGGAGCGAGGGCATGGCAGACTCAGGGGAGGGGGCGGGAAGGGGTGGAGTGGGGGCAGGTTCTGTGGCAGAGCCAGGGGTTGAACAGTGAGCACCCCCCGGCACACTGGAAAGTTGGCGCCTGTAGCTACAGCCCCAGAGTTGGTGCCTATACAAGGAACCGCATACTAACTTCTGAAGAGCCGGATGTGGCTCCGGAGCCACAGGTTGGCCACCCCTGGCATATATTAATGCAGAGAGAGTAGCCTCTGCTACTACCAAATATTATGCACAGAATAACTGAATTATTATTTAAAACAAACATTGTAAAAATTAACCATGAAACATTTTCAGATCTGTTTCTAAAAAAAGACCACCACAAATGAGACTACTGAAATATATTAATTACCTGGATGACAGAATAATACCAGGAAAGGGGAAAATCAAATACCCATAAAGCTGCTGTCCTCAAAGAAAAGTGTGTCTCACTAACAGCTTCTTCCGACATGGCTCCTTCTCTCCCATAACCTCATTAAGTGAAACTACCTCGAAAACATTTTAGTCACACATGGTATCTTACAGTCTGCGAAATGAAAATTACATGTTAAATTATATATCACAAGCATATAAATAGCTTTCTTCTGAAAACTTCCAACAACCTTACATTATAGGATGCATGTTTATTTTGGATAACGTTTATATGAAGGGGTGAAACTAGTGTTCTCAGTAGCAACTACCAAGAATAGGGTGAAAAACAGAGATAAAATTAGGCCGAAATACTTTTAACTGCTCTGTAGAGAAAGATCCCCATATTCAATCATGGGGATCCACACATGGAACAGCTTGCAAGATAGAGACTTCAGTTCTTTTATTATGCATAACCCCCATACTGAATTTACTTCTACAAGTCATGATCTCTATTTATTAGGAAACAAAATCTGCTGTCTAAAAAGATTTGGAAATCTTAAAATTGAATAATCAGTGACCATAGAGTTTAAGCACCTGAAGTAGCTTCTCTCCCCTTTAAGGTATGAATCTCCTACAATCACACAATGGGGATTAACATGGCTGCTCAAAGTTGCTACAGTTTCCATTTCTTAAAGGGAATTTCACTATTTACTCTCAATAAAGCCAGATACAAAGTAAAATGTAGTAAGAATTCTAGATACAAGTCTCCTTTGGACAAACTACTTACTGGAGTAAACAAAAAAGCAGAAGGCCCACACAGACAGGCTGTAGGGTCAGTTGTAGAGACAGGCCAATTGGTACCTGTCAAGTAGTTCATCATATGGCAGGGGGAGACCCTCTGAGCAGGATATGACAATCTTCAGAAGTTCGAGAGCTGGGGCGTAACTGCCGGGGCTCGGGGCTTCAGCCCCAAGACCTGGCAGATGCATCCGGCAGGGCTGAAGCCCCCAGACTCCTCTCCCCATTGGCAGAAGCCAGAGGCAATGCATGGGGGAAGGGCATGGGGGGGTCACACAACCCCCCATTTTTGCACCAGGGTTTGCTGGACCGGCTCAGTCACATGGTGCTGCCAGGCCTCCTCCCTGCAGGGCAGCTGCTGGAGCTCGAGAGCTGTGGCCATGGTGAAAGGCAGCAGCAAACAGCTGGGCGCAGCAGGAAAAGCTGCTGCTTGCTGCTGCCTCTCTTTGTAGAGCTAAAGCAGGGAGGCCTCCTACCTGTTTGCCATTATCTCTCCACAGGGAGCTAACACTTGGGAGCTGCAGGGAGGGGCCACTGAGGATAAGAGGGGAAGCATGTCTGGTGGGACCTGACTCAAGCTTGGGGCGGGAGGTTAACCTTTAAATTGTGCCCCCCCCACCCACCCACCCACCCAGCCAGCACCAGTTATTTCTGGCAGAAGCCCCGAGCTCTCCCCACCACAGGGGAGAAGCCCCGAGGGATATATGGGGGGAATCCATGAGTCACACTTTAATGGGAAAAGAGCTACACAGTACATACAGTTCACGCGCTGCTGTCTCGCCACCCCATCATATGGGGAAAGGCAGAGAAATTTCTCTCCATCCTAAACTATCCACCCAGCCTGGACTCTGTCTCCGTGATGTTCCTGGGGAAGGATGGTCCTTTCCCCTCTCTGCCAGCCCCACCTCCGAGGCGCTGCGAACAGAGCACGCTTGTCCCCGCCTCAGGCGGGCTGGCGCTAGCAAACCCCCGCAGCCTGCCGCTGGGGCGGGGGACACACCTGCCCCGGGGTGGCTGAGAGCTGCCTCCCCCTGGCTTAGTGTCCCGCGCTAGGTGCGCATAGGGCCCCTCGCTTAGCACCCAGCCGGTCTGCGCGCGCAGAGGCCCGGTCCCCGCGTCTGGGCAGCGCCGAGCCCCCCGAGCCACCGGGACCCGGTCACGCGGGGCGCTCACAGCGCAGTCTACGCGCTGCACGGGTTCGGGGGCCCCCGAGGCCAGGGCGGGGAGGGACCAGTGAGGGGCCTCGCTCTGCCCTTACCCGCTCAGGAGCAGGACCCGCCCCGAGAAATGGCCGCAGCCAGCTAAGGGACGAACACACAGCACAACCCCCCCCATGCGCAGACAGAGGCTCGCTCCCTCCCCCCAGCTACGCCCCACCCAGGCTGCGCTGCAAGGCTCCAGCCGACGCCCCAAGTTACCTGCCGGCGGTGAGAACAGCAACCAGTGCCCTGCCCCAGCAGCGCCCTCCCCCGCCCGCTGCTAGGAGACAGACAGGAGATCTACTTCCGGTGTCAAAAAAAAAAAACGCGGGCGGGAGGGAGTCTCTATCTACACCACGTGGGTAATACAGTGCAAGAGTCAATCACCGCCATCTCAGTGCGGGACAAACCCGTGAATGAGATACGCAGCACCGCCATCTTTGTGCGGGGCGAAGCTATCTGAATGTGTGAGATACACCCAGCACCGCCATCTTTGTGCGGGGCGAAGCTATCGGAATGTGCGATACGCCCAGCACCGCCATCTTTGTGCGGGGCGAAGCTATCGGAATGTGTTCGGGACATACACCCAAGCATCGCCATCTTTGTGAGGGGCGCACATCAGCGTCCGGGGCAGACAGCAGCAGGCGAAGCGGAAGGAACCGCTGCTGCGGGCAGCGAGGGACAAGCGAATAGCGGGGTCCCTGTGAGCTGGGCACCGCGAACCAGGTAAGGCCACCGCGCAGCGAGTCCGCGGCCCGAACGCCAACCTCCGCACGTCGCCTGCGGTCTCGTCTGGGCGCTGGGTCCTTCCTGCGGAGAAATGACCCTCTCCCTGGTGGCTCCTTCCCCTCGCGCCCGGGCTCTGACACTGCCGCCTCCGCCAATCCCCAGCGCTGCCCCGGCCCCCCTCGGGCCCGGCCCGGCCCCCCTCCGGACCCGCCCTCCCCGTGCGAGGCCGCCTCCTTGCGCCGCCGGTGCCCCGGCCCCTCCTAGGCAGCGGTCATGTAGAGCCTGTTCTCGGTCAGTGCCACTCCCCGAGCCGGCGGGGCGGGAGGGGCTGCTCGTTCCGTAACTCAGGAGAGGCGCGGCGGAGAGGCCAGCACCAGGGGCGGGTCTGGTGGCCGCTAAGCAGGTTTGCCCTTGGTTGCGCTGTGTAATGGGCCTGTCAGGGGCGGGTGTCCGGCGGGGTCTGCTCGGCGCTGCTGCCCGCTCCCAAGGGCCAGTCCCGCTCAGTGCGCCTCGCTTTGCTCGCTCAGAGCCGCTCGCCTTGCTGCTGCAGCATCAACCATTGGGCCGCCGAGCGAGGAGGGGTGTGCAGAGTGTGGGTGCTCTGCTGGAACAGATGGGTGGGTAGCTGTGAACTTACTAAGTGGAGTTTTCCTAGGATGTTAATACTTTCTTAGCCCCAGTATTAAAGTATTACCGTTCTGAGGTTCGGGGTGTAAGGTACATAAGCCTGTGGCAGTATTTGCCGGTGATTTACATTTATTTTACGGTGGTGATAGCTAAGGGGCATGGACACAAACTTCAGAAAGATCTAATCGAAGGAAGGGATAGGACAGCATGCTTGCCCATAAAATGAAACCTAGACACATTTCTCTTGTTGCTATAATGCTTGTAAATGTAAGCAGTAGATAAAATGTGCCAAACAAATACTGCAGTAGGCTCATTATTGTGAAAACCAATCTAAACTTCTACATGATGGTGGACTCTGAGCTAGCAGAATCCTCATAGAATTAGGGTGTACAGTTCCCTATGCTGTATTAGTGGCATTTTTAATTTTAAAAAAAGTAAATGAGTTGTTTGGATGTATCAAAATAGGATGGAAAATTAAACAAATGACCTTATACCTAAAGAGCATACTCTCATTTTGAGTGTGGTTTTATTTTGAGTTTCCTTTTATTGAGAGAGCACAGGAATTACAAGAACAAAGGTTAATGAAAATGGTTTGCCTGTAAAAATACTATTTGCTTAGGGTGAGTTTTGCATCTCAGAGCAGGGACAGTATTTTCTTCTGTTCTTCGCAGTGTTATCACTGAACATGCTATTGGCAGTTGACTAACAATATGGCAGCGTTTCATAATAAGTGTGGAAAAGTAGATTTTGTGTCTGGGCTGATAAAGCATTGTTGATGTTGTAAGGATAGAATAGATGTATTGATGGAGTTTACATAAAATGAAGTGGTGGGAGATTACTCCTGGGAAGAAGAATGTAAAGCAACTTTAGTCAATTGGTAAATTAAAGGATAAAGTGAAAATAGAAGCGATGTTCCTTTTGTCACATCTCTTAATGCAGGAACAAAGATGCTCAAAACTCAAATAAATGTGAAAAGCTATTCTTTGTGCAATTTATAGTCAACATGAGGAAATTACTGCTGCAGGAGATCAAGACCTATTGTAGCAGGATTTTTGAAAGGACTGGATAATTTTGTGTGCATTTATTGTGTGTGTGTGTGTGTATATATGTGTTTGTGTGTGTATATATGTGTGTATATACACACACACACCCAAACTGTCATAAATATAAAGGGAAGGGTAACCACCTCAGAGTGGGGAGGGAACCCTGACATGTCTGAACTTTAGGGTACAGATGTGGGGACCCGCATGAAAGACCCCCTAAACTTATTTCTACCAGCTTAGGTTAAAACTTCCCCAAGGCACAAATTCTTCCTTGTACCTTGGATTAGGTAAACGCTGCCCCTACCAAGTGATTCAAACAAAGAAGCAGGGAAAGGACTACTTGGAGTCTTATTTCCCCAAAATATCCCCCCAAGACCTACACCCCCTTTCCTGGGGAGGCTTGAGAATAAACAAGATGAGTACAGACCAGCCTTGGGTTTTTAGGATACTAAAAAACCCAATCAGATTCTTTAAAAAAACCGAACTTTACTAGAAAGAAAAAAGGTCAAAGGAGTACCTCTGTAAGATTAGAATGGAAGATAATCTCACAGGCAATCAGATTCAAAACACAGAGGATTTCACTCTAGGCAAAACTTTACAGTTACAAAAAGAAAAAAACAGGAATACACATTCCCCCCAGCACAGAGAAATTCACTAGCCAAAACAAAAGATAATCTAACGCATTTCCTTGCTAAATACTTACTAACTCTATAGGAGTTGGATTGCTTGCTTCTTTGATCTGTGTCTGGCAAAAGCCACATGGAACAGACAGAACAAAGCCTCCTCCCCCCCCAGATTTGAAAGTATCTTGTCCCCTTATTGGTCCTTTTGGTCAGGTGCCAGCCAGGTTACTTAAGCTTCTTAACCCTTTACAGGTAAGAGGATTTTGTGCCTCTGGCCAGGAGGGATTTTATAGTACTGTATACAGAAAGGTGGTTACCCTTCCCTTTATATTTATATGACACACACACAGCTATTTGATAGAAAAGTCTACAAATTAATTATTTGGATACATAAATCTGAAGCTTATTTGGACACGTACTTTGCAATACTGTGAATTGAATGCAGTTTTTTTTTTTTTAATGTACAAGTGGTGGCATAACAGTTGCTGAAAGACCCATAACTTTGAATTTCTTGACTTTTGTATATTTAAATCTGCAGGTATAAAGTTGCATTAACAGCACTGCAGCCATATTTCTTTTATTGGAAAAAAAATGAAATAAGTGCACTTGAATGTCTGGTTATTGAAGTGAACACAGTTGCAAACAAAGACCCTGATCCTAAAACTTGATCTACGCAGGCAAACCCTTATGCCATCATGGAGCCAGTTGCAGGATTAGAGCCAAATTTGATCCACATTTATTTCTTCCCAAAGTTCAAGGTGATGGTCTTTGGGGGGGTGTGTGTGGTTTTTTTTTTTTTTTTTTTTTTTTTTGTTGTTGTTTGTGGTTTTTTTTTTTTTTTTTAATCCTTTTAACTCTTATTAGTGGTCAACTTTTTTTTAATTACTTACATAAGATAATTATATTTCCATGACTGGCATGTAATACCATATAAGGCAATCACTATCTTTATTGATTAACTTTTCTGAATGTTGTATTTTTAATAAACAGTCTTAACATAAACTGCATTATTTTTCTATTTGTGCCCAGACTAAGACTTTGTTTCCTCATGATTTTATTTCTGTATGTTTAATCTTGATGAACATGAATTCTTTCAGAATCCTGCAAAACTTATTTGGATCTGTTCATTATATATTAGTATATATTGATTAGCAATCAGGAAAAAGTCCTATGAAATCACCTGGTAAAATAGTTGTATATTTTAAGGACTTCAACATAATGAAGGAAGTGGGATGTGTGTATTTATGTATTCATTCCAGTACACCAGGGGTCAGCAACCTTTCAGAAGTGGTGTGCCGAGTCTTCATTTATCCACTCTAATTTAAGGTTTCGTGTGCCAGTAATACATTTTAACGTTTTTTGAAGGTCTCTTTCTATAAATCTATAATATATAACTAAACTATTGTTGTATGTAAAGTAAATAAGGTTTTTAAAATGTTTAAGAAGTTTCATTTAAAATTAAATTAAAATGCAGAGCCTCCCAGACCGGTGGCCAGGACCTGGGCAGTGTGAGTGCCACTGAATATCAGCTCGCGTGCCACAGGTTGCCTACCCCTGCAGTACACTATAGAATTTCTATAGTTAAGTGAGGTAGATGAAAACAATGGCTTACATTAAATACTTTATATTTTGTTTTAATATATCGTGATGCTATCTAAATCTAAGTGGAAACGGGGTGTAAGCTTCAGGTTCTGTGCCTGTCGGATGCTTTTGGTGCTATCTGAATTGTCTGTCTCAATGTTTGAGAGGTTAGGGACCCTTTTCAATGATAGGACCTTTATGGATGAGATGGTTCTTCAGTGTTAAGCACTATACAAGTCTATGGTGCTGTGGAATTATAAGCAGTAAATGGAAAAAGAGGCTGCCTAACATGATGATTTAAGATGCCATTCACATTGCTCTAATTGTCAAATCTGCTCAGCAGAACACTTATGAAAGAGTATTATATAATATACTTGGATTTTTAAGATGAGCCTAACAGTGTCATTACCTTACTTCTATAGGACCACAGTTGTGCATGGTGCTATACATGGTCACTTACCTGGTAAATGAAAATGTGCTAAATAAGTAACAGGTCATATCTTGAAAAGCAAAGGCATGATTGGTTCAATGACCATATGGTACAATATACAAGAACATAAGAATGTCCATACTGGGACAGTGATGTGGTCCATCTAACCCAGTATCCTATCTTCTGAAAGTGTCCAGTGCCAGGTGCTTCAGAGGGAAGGAACAGGACAGGGTAATTATGAGTGATCCATCCTCTGTCATCCAGTCCCAGCTTCTGGCAGTTGGAGGTTTAGGGACATTGTAGCATGGGATTGTTCCCCTGACCATATTGGCTAAAAGCCATAGAGACCAATGCTTGATAGAATGAACATCCTGATAGAAGCTTTTGGGAAGACAATGGAGGGAAGTAGGAGCACATTAACTGGAAGGTTTTTCCAAATGAACAGTAGCCACTTGAGAGGCGCTATGGTCCCATGGGTAGGACAGTGAACTAGGTATGAGGAGACTTGGGTTCTGTTCCCAACTCTGCTACTGTCTTACTGTGGCCTGGTCCACACTAACCCCCCACTTCGGACTAAGGTACGCAAATTCAGCTACGTCTAGACAAGACGCGATAAATCGATCCCAGAAGATCGATCGCTTACATCCGGACCAGGAAGTAAGTATAGACGTACCGTGTGTGACTTTTGGGCAA